GTAGGGAAACATATTAAAAAATCATAAAATACTGAAGCATATTGCTTTAAAGGAGCTCAAAGAATGAGAGGTTAATGACGGTCCTCCAGCCTCTCTGGGGGAAGACAAAAAGGGTCTTCCCCAAGAAGTAGCATTTAAGCAGAGATGGGGTGGGGATTCCCCAAAGAGTAACCAATATGTGCAAAAGATTTGAATGAGAGGTTAATGACGGTCCTCCAGCCTCTCTGGGGGAAGACAAAAAGGGTCTTCCCCAAGAAGTAGCATTTAAGCAGAGATGGGGTGGGGATTCCCCAAAGAGTAACCAATATGTGCAAAAGATTTGAGAACATTGGACCTGTTGGGAAACTACCTGTTCAGGGTTGTTAGAGTGTAAACGGCTGAAAGGTGGAGTAGGAAGAGAGCAGTAGTGTGAGGTAAGACCAGACAACTGGGATCAGAAGACCATGCAATGTTCTGTACGTCAGGCAAGTTTTTATTTGATTCTAGTCTTGGGCCATTAATAGCGTTATAATAACCATCTACATTTGACTAAAAATAGCATTTAAATCTTAAAGCAAATGCTCAGGTAATAAATTTTCAGAAACATCATCTCTCTCTGATTAAGTCTCTCTTGGCAGGACTTGTGCATTAATTCATAGGATTAATAATAGTTCATGAGTCCAATGTAAGGCTGTCAAATCCAGGCAATTCCTACTGTCTGAGACGTGGGCGGGCCATCAGAAGTATGGGCCAGCAGCGTTTCTTAAGCCCAGGCGCCTAGTGTTGGATAGTTGAGCCTTACATTCGACCCACTCCCCCTCTGCCAAAAACTGGGGGTTATGGAGGCAGTGGATGGCGGTGGGAATGGGGAGCGGAGGGCTTTCGAGGCCAAGAATCTGACTTGGAGCTAAAGTCGGGAACTGAATCGCTGTCACCAGGAAGACTGGCCAGACCTGATTGGTACCTCTCTTTCCTCATCTCACTCAATTCTTTCCAATTTTTCTACAAGCTTATGTCCTCTTTCCACCCTGACTTTGTCTTCCCCTAGGATCAGGTATCGTTCTTTCTTCCTCCTCTCTCCCCGCTTTGTGGGGCGCCGGAGCTTGGGGCCTTGGACTGCATTAGGCGCGTGCCCCAACGCTCTTTGCTTTGGTAACAATTCCATCCTCTTTGCTAATCTCTCCATCGTTCCCTGCCAGCCGCCGAGTTCTTTCCCTCCCGCAGGGCAGTGCCTCCCGCTGCGCGCCCGGTGGTCGGGCGGCTCCAGGAACCTCAAGCGGATGCGGCCGCGAGCCGGTGCCACGTCTCAGCCGCCAGCAGGCCAGCGCCTGCGTGGGCTCTGGGGTGGTGAGGGGCGGGGCTGTGCGGGGAGGCGGGACCTGCGCTTGAGCGGCGCGGACGCGGCCCAATGGGACCTGCGGGCGGTGGCGGCGGCGGCGCGGTGCGCGCCGGGGGGCGGGGCCCAGCGGCAGTTGCTGGCAAGCCCGGGAGGACGGGACGGCTTTCGTTGCTTCGGCCGTGGCATCCGTGAGGGAGTCGTGTCGGCGCCCCCTGGCCCCCAAGCCCGCTGACCGCCCAAAAGGCTTGTGTGCTCTCCCGAACTCGCCAGCCGCTCGCCGCTTGCCTTGCAGGCCGTGCCACCTGCATCATGTGCGGTAAGGGGGCCGCGGGCGGGGGGCGTGTTGCGGGCTGTGCTGGGGTGCGGTGCGGGCGTCGCTGAGGCCGGTGGAGCCGGCGGGAGCGGGAGTGTGGAGGGTGCGAAGTCAGGGTGTTGGGCGGGGGTGTCCCGCGGTGCCTGCGGGTGCTGGGGGCGGGGGCCGGCCTCTGGGAGCTGGAGCGGGGACCTAGGAGGGCACCTGAGAGGAGGGCGGGCCCTAGGGCCCTCCTTCGGGGGGCCGAAGGAGGCTTTGCGCCAAGAAGGGAACCTGGAGCTAAGAGCACTGTCTGAGTTGGAAAAGGAGCGAGGGCTGAGGGAGCTGAGGGGTGGAGGGGAGTGACTTCAAAAGAGTCCAGCATGTGAGGGAGGCAACCTGTGGAACATCAGGTGAGGTCTCTTGAATTTATCTCGCATTCTTCCAGGATTTACCTTTTAAAAAATATTTAATTTTAGTTGCTTTCTTTCGGACACGCCCAGCAGAAAATAGAACTATAGCTAGAGCTATGACAATGACATTTCATATGATCTTACTTCCTGCCTCCCCCCATCTCAACAGAAGCCATTGCTAATCAATGCCTTGGTGAATGGGCCTGGAAGTGACCGTGGAGAGAGATCGTACATCATTTATTACTTGCATGTGCACCCATTTGAAACACGTATGAGAAATATTGGTCTACATTTAATGAATGTTTTACCTAGAACAGTTAAAACATAAAGTTAGGCCCTTTTAGTCCATGTTTTGAGACTTAGTCGTTTTACTAATTAGATAAAAGTGTGAGTTAAAGTTATAATTGTCAGAATTATATCTGAAATGACTGATATGCTCTAAAATTCGTATTAACTTGGCTATTGTCAGTAAAAAGAATTGAATTCTTACGTTCCTTATTGAAATTTACAACTGACCTTACCCCTGGAAGAAAGAACACTTAAAAAAATTTTTTTATTTATTTTATTTATTTATTTTTGGCTGTGTTGGGTCTTTGTTGCTGAGCGCGGGCTTTCTCTAGTTGCGGCGACCGGGGGCTACTCTTCGTTGTGGTGCGCGGGCTTCTCATTGCGGTGAGGCTTCTCTTGTTGACGAGCACAGGCTCTAGGCGCGCGGGCTTCAGTAATTGCAGCCCTCGGGCTTCAGTAGTTGCCGCACGCGGGCTCAGTAGTTGTGGCAGACGGGCTTAGTTGCTCCGAGGCATGTGGGATCTTCCTGGACCAGGGCTTGAATCCGTGTCCCCTGTATTGGCAGGTGGATTCTTAACCACTGCGCCACCAGGGAGGTCCCAAGAACACTTTTTTTAAGGGAAGTATGATTGTAATAGAATTGAAGCTACCTGGGAAGCATTCTTTGTAGTCTTTTGCAAGAGGGGCTGAGCAGGAGTAGCTTGTACTCATTAGTGTCTGTTTTTCCTGCATTTAACTTTATGTTAATTTCAGCTTCTGAAATGAAGAGCAAGTTTAAATTTAGAGTAGATTGAAAAAAAAGCACACAGAAACAATTATAAATAGCTTGCTGAAATTATTAGTGGTAGAGCTGACTTTAGAATCAGTTACACTTTTGCAGTGTCTAGGTAGTAGAGTGGTTTTGCAAGAGACATAATTTAGTTTGGAGCTGTGAGGTAATGAATTTGCCATCCCCAGTGTGCTTGTTTGGTAATTAACTGTTACTGAGTGATGAGGTGTGCACCTAGTCAAGCACCTGGCTTTCTGGTTGCAGATCATTTCTTTATCTTGTTCCAGGAAAAACAGAAGTCAAAGTACAGTACTATAAAAGAAAAAATCAGATCTGGTTTAGAAAAGGTTCAGATAAGGGTGAGGCTTTCAGGGTGGAGATTAGTTGTTAGGCGATTTCACAGAGTCAGCATCCCCATTCCACCATGTTATGCTGCTGAGGAAACAAGACAGGTGATAAACAAGAAATAAAGAACTAGTTATGGGAACATATATATATGTGTAACTGATTCACGTTGTTATAAAGCAGAAACTAACACGCCATTGTAAAGCAATTATACGCCAATGAAGACGTTAAAAAAAAAAAAAAAAAAAGAACTAGTCTTTGAGGCATTTCTAAGGTCCTGCTTTTAACCTGGACCAGTTTTACATGATTCCAGGAATAGGGTTCAGAATTTCTCTCCTCTTTAATGTAAATTCTGAAAGTTAACTGTTAAGAAGACAAAGATTTGTCCTTATTTTCCTCCTACATCTTAATTATTATTTTTTTTTTAAACATCTTTATTGGGGTATAATTGCTTTACAATGGTGTGTTAGTTTCTGCTTTATAACAGAGTGAGTCAGTTATACATATATATATGTTCCCATATCTCTTCCCTCTTTGTCTCCCTCCCTCCCACCCTCCCTATCCCACCCCTCCAGACAGCCACAAAGAACCCAGCCGGTTTCCCTGTGCCATGCGGCTGCTTCCCACTGGCTATCTACCTTACGTTTGTTAGTATATATATGTCCATGTCTCTCTCTCGCCCTAACACACCTCACCCTTCCCCCTCCCCATATCCTCAAGTCTGTTCTCCAGTAGGTCTCTGTCTTTATTCCTGTTTTACCCCTAGGTTCTTCATAACATTTTTTTTTTCTTAAATTCCATATATATGTGTTAGCATATGGTATTTGTCCTTCTCTTTCTGACTTACTTCACTCTGTACGACAGACTCTAGATCTATCCACCTCATTACAAATAGCTCAATTTCGTTTCTTTTTATGGCTGAGTAATATTCCATTGTATATATGTGCCACATCTTCTTTATACATTCATCGGACAGTGAGCACTTAGGTTGTTTCCATCTCCGGGCTATTGTAAATAGAGCTACAATGAACATTTTGGTACATGACTCTTTCTGAATTCTGGTTTCCTCAGGGTATATACCTAGTAGTGGGATTGCTGGGTCATATGGTAGTTCTATTTGTAGTTTTTTAAGGAACCTCCATACTGTTCTCCATAGTGGCTGAACCAATTCACATTCCCACCAGCAGTGCAAGAGTGTTCCCTTTTCTCCACACCCTCTCCAGCATTTATTGTTTCTAGATTTTTTGATGATGGCCATTCTGACTGGTGTGAGATGATATCTCATTGTAGTTTTGATTTGCATTTCTCTAATGATTAATGATGTTGAGCATTCTTTCATGTGTTTGTTGGCAGTCTGTATATCTTCTTTGGAGAAATGTCTATTTAGGTCTTCTGCCCATTTTTGGATTGGGTTGTTTATTTTTTTGTTATTGAGCTGCATGAGCTGCCTGTAAATTTTAGAGATTAATCCTTTGTCAGTTGATTCATTTGCAAATATTTTCTCCCATTCTGAGGGCTGTCTTTTGGTCTTGTTTATGGTTTCCTTTGCTGTGCAAAAGCTTTGAAGTTTCATTAGGTCCCATTTGTTTATTTTTGTTTTTATCTCCATTACTCTAGGAGATGGGTCAAGAAGGATCTTGCTGTGATTTATGTCATAGAGTGTTCTGCCTATGTTTTCCTCTAAGAGTTTGATAGTTTCTGGCCTTACATTTAGGTCTTTAATCCATTTTGAGCTTATTTTTGTGTATGGTGTTAGGGAGTGATCTAATCTCATACTTTTACATGTACCTGTCCAATTTTCCCAGCACCACTTATTGAAGAGGCTGTCCTTTCTCCACTGTATATTCCTGCCACCTTTATCAAAGATAAGGTGACCATATGTGCATGGGTTTATCTCTGGGCTTTCTATCCTATTCCATTGATCTATCTTTCTGTTTTTGTGCCAGTACCATACTGTCTTGATTACTGTAGCTTTGTAGTATAGTCTGAAGTCAGGCAGCCTGATTCCTCCAGCTCCATTTTTTGTTCTCAAGATTGCTTTGGCTATTCGGGGTCTTTTGTGTTTCCATACAAATTGTGAAATTTTTTGTTCTAGTTCTGTGAAAAATGCCAGTGGTAGTTTGATAGGGATTGCATTGAATCTATAGATTGCTTTGGGTAGTAGAGTCATTTTCACAATGTTGATTCTTCCAATCCAAGAACATGGTCTGTCTCTCCGTCTATTTATATCATCTTTAGTTTCTTTCATCAGGGTCTTATAATTTTCTGCATACAGGTCTTTTGTCTCCTTAGGTAGGTTTATTCCTAGATATTTTATTCTTTTTGTTGCAGTGGTAAATGGGAGTGTTTTCTTAATTTCACTTTCAGATTTTTCATCATTAGTATATAGGAATGCCAGAGATTTCTGTGCATTAATTTTGTATCCTGCTACTTTACCGAATTCATTGATTAGTTCTAGTAGTTTTCTGGTAGCATCTTTAAGATTCTCTATGTATAGTATCATGTCATCTGCAAACAGTGACAGCTTTACTTCTTCTTTTCTGATTTGGATTCCTTTTATTTCCTTTTCTTCTCTGATTGCTGTGGCTAAAACTTCTAAAACTATGTTGAATAAGAGTGGTGAGAGTGGGCAACCTTGTCTTGTTCCTGATCTTAGGGGAAATGCTTTCAGTTTTAGACCATTGAGGACGATGTTGGCTGTTGGTTTGTCATATATGGCTTTTATTATGTTGAGGAAAGTTCCCTCTATGCCTACTTCCTGCAGGGTTTTTATCATAAATGGGTGTTGAATTTTGTCGAAAGCTTTCTCTGCATCTCTTGATATGATCATATGGTTTTTCCCCTTCAATTTGTTAATATGGTGTATCACGTTGACTGGTTTGCATATATTGAAGAATCCTTACATTCCTGGAATAAACCCCACCTGATCATGGTGTATGATCCTTTTAATGTGCTGTTGGATTCTGTTTGCTAGTATTTTGTTGAGGATTTTTGCATCTATGTTCATCAGTGATTTTGGCCTGTAGTTTTCTTTCTTTGTGACATCCTTGTCTGGTGTTGGTATCAGGGTGATGGTGGCCTCATAGAATGAGTTTGGGAGTGTTCCTCCCTCTGCTATATATTGGAAGAGTTTGAGAAGGATAGGTGTTAGCTTTTCTCTAAATGTTTGATAGAATTCGCCTGTGAAGCCATCTGGTCCTGGGCTTTTG